TTCAGACATGGCCTTGCTCTAGGCAAAGGAAAGTATTTTGTTGTAGGTGACTGTCTTGGCAAAGCATGACACACTCCAGGAGTCCTGGCTGTTGCTCTCCTAGCAACCCTGGGGATTCTAGTTCCTACATGCTGAATAGGAAACAAAGTTCAGGATCTCAAGTGCTTGTAGACATAGGAAAAGGACAGACAAACAACACCTCAGAAAACTAAAGAAGGGATGAAGAGTCTGGTTTAACTTCTAGGCAGGACAAGAAAACCCTTTGCTTCTACATTTTAAACACCCGAAATTCAGAAAAGCAAGGTAAGCCAAATCTGCAGATACAACCAACAAATGAAACTGGATTTCAACCTTTCTCCCAGCTCCCATTTAAAGAGTAGGAAGAAGTTGCCAATTCACACCCTCCCTGTACTTCATTCTTCATTTGAAACATTCAAAGTCCTCAAAAGGATTACTAAAAAACTATGTTGACCCTACCAAAGATCTGTACACAGATGTGCTTTCTTATGTGTCCTTTAAGTAGCTACTATTATATTTCCTGTTAAATGCAAAGGTTTGGAGAGCAAAACCTGTACTATATTCTTTAGGGATACATGAAGCACACAGAGTAATTTCACTACTGAAATGCAAAACCTGACAACCAGTAAAGAGTAAGGTTGTCTTAAAAAGCAATGGTTCTCATCCTCTGTAAAACATCAGGGCAATGCAAGCAGCATGTAGCACATCTGTGAATGGTTGCTTCACAAGTTAAAGAAAACAATTCAGAGCAGAGGACTGTGTTTTGCCAGCTGTATTTGAAATAAAACATCAGTCCTGCCCACTCCCCATGTGTGTTGCAAATCAGGCTCCCTCAGTCTCAATTCCTTTCATTCATTTCCCTTGCTCCCTAAATAATCTGTACTTCTTAGAACATGGCAACTCATTTTCATTTCTTAATATGTGGAGCCCTTCACATTCCTTCCCTTTATTCTGTCATCCTGCAACGCTCATCCTAAGGATTCCCATTCCACAGATAAAAATTGTGGCTGAAAACCCGCCAGGGGCTGGCCTGGAGCAGCACAGGAAACATAAAGGGCAGTTGTGATGCCAACTGGAATTGAGCAGTCCTTTCCCTTCAGCCTACCTGGTAAGCTGGATGAGGTGGGTCTGAAAGTGTAGAACTGTCTACCTTTGGGGCAAAGTTGCGGATAAACTACTAACACCCTCGGCTCTGCTTTGCTGACAGTTTGGCCTGCTCAGTGACTCTTCCGTAACAAACAGGCGTGCAACTGGTGCCAGCCTTCCACCTATCACTTCAGAGGTTTTTGGAACTGATTATAGCATCAGCCAAACTGGGGGACAGTAGGAATTTCTCTCTCAAATTTGAGAAGGCTGGGTTAGGGCATTACACCGGTTGTACATGGTTAGAACAGTTTTATCTATTTTATATGTATGAAAACAGTGTTATTTCATCTGCTCTTTTTTATCTGGCACTTCCAAACCATTTTTTCCATAGATTGTGGGCCCCTTGGGGGCAGAACCATTAGCATTTGAAAAAGCTGATGTAAGCCATGGTGAGGCCATGGGACAGAGCAGGGTACAACATGAAATAAATTAAAATACAAGACCTAGCCACAGAAAAGAGCTGCTCTGTAAAATTATGCATCAATGTTGGCTCGGTGTGTGTAACTGCCACATACAGCTGGTATCCTTGGTGTGGAATCTGTGTAATTTAAAGAGATTCACACAGCTCCTATGCAGGAACAATATTTAAATTGTAAAACATGTATTCTGCTCAGCTGCATGTCATGGTTTTGATAATGGTATCACTGAAAGTCAGTATTACTAGTGGCAAATGCATGTTTCACATTAATAAGGTGCTTTTGGGTCCAGCAAACAGAGAATTTGTGTGTGTTCTGACCAAAACCTTCTAGTGGCTTCTGGCCAGTAGACAAGTCCTGAATCTGTAGTCCAGGGAATTACAGAGGGTGCGTGTGTGTGAAAAAGAGAGGTGAGCTCCCCTGCAGATGCTCCTTCCCTGGCTGATGCACAGGACTAAGCTTCCTTCCTTTGCCCCAGTGTTCTTCCTGGGAGGGGAATCTACAATTGCCAGGAACTTACTATGAAAGGTGCAACTGTATGCATGTTTAGACATAAGAGGTACATCTGTCAGACAACACGTTGAGTCCCCAGCTCACCTTCCAATCAAAAGCCCCATTCAGGCCTTCACTTACCAGGCAGATCTAGCCGGGAATGAGCATCGGCCCTGCCCCTGCCCCTGCCCCTCCTCACATTCTTCACCCTCTGTGAAAGGGAGAGGCTCCTTTTTCCATACAAGCCAAAATGTGGTGGAAAATCTGCTACAGCATGGTGGTTAGTGTGTTGGGACTGGGAAATCGGGGACCAGGTCCCTACTTGGTCATGAAGCGCACTGGGTGACTTTGGGCCAGTCACAGACTCTCAGCCTCACCTACCTCACAGGGTTGTACTTCTGAGGATAAAACGGAGCTCTGGAAGCCACCCTGAGCTGCTCATAAGAGGAAAAACAGTAGGATATAAATGCACTGTAATGATAAATGCAGAGAGCCTCTACAGATAAATCAGCTATGCAATTCACACAGTCACCCTCCGTAACAGCAGGGCAGTAAATATAATAAGGGAGGGAGATGGGGCTGCAGCTCCTCAGACATTTGATTTACCAGGTATGTGAGTGTCTGAGTGTTTGTCTGATTTGAGGAGGGGATCCCGATATGCTTGTGACACGAAAGCCCCCACATGAGGAAGCTGCTTCTTCATATTGGGGTATCACACATATCTAATATTTATCAGCAATGCTTAGTTAATATGCTTTTAGCTCCTTCCAGGAGAGTCCATAAGAAGCACAAAACTGTGCTAGGCAAGAAGACACCATTCCAGAGAAAGCAGCACAAGAGCTCTGAGGACATAAAGAAAAGGACAAGCACATCTGGGGATTACAAATTCCTAGGCAACCTACTGCTTGCCTTTTTTCCAGGCATTGGTCTAACCTTCCTTATGGATTTATGCCAGGATGGTGCCTGGCCTTTTACTGGATCCCTGCCCAAACTAACAGGATCTCCCTTGCTTTCAAAAAGCTGGCCTTCAAGCATGCCCTCTTGCTTTTTTAAAAGGTCTCTTAATGGGCTATATCATAAGATGGGTGATGGCCTGGGTATCTGTCAGTTAAATAGCTTACTCAGTACTGAATGGGAAACTTGATACTTAAAATAAGATCTCGCTCTCTCTTTTTAAGCTATTAGAACAAAAAATGTGTAGGACATTCCATTTCCTGTCCAGATATTAAGATCTAAGAGTCTTCAGTAATGCTTTTGTAACAAAAATGAAATGTACTTGTTTCATTTTATATAAGTGACAGTCAGTGCTATATGATTAGTATAGTTCTAATAAAATAAAAATGTATCAAAGTACATGATACATTCATATAAAACCAAAACTGAATCCAATTTCTGGTGTATGCTTTGTTTTAAGACTATCCATCAGCTCTGGGGAGTTAACTGATGCAAAAAAAAAAAAAACTTCTGGAACAACTGGTTTAAAATATTCAGTAAAAGCCAAACTTGGAACAGGAGGAGGGGATGCACCACTCTTTGAGTGCAAGTCCAATTAAAATTAGGTGTTCCCCCATCGCATCTTTCCTCCAAGGGAAACGTACTGTGCTTTTAACACCTTGTGAAATAGGATAGGTTGGGAGACAGCAAACACATGGATGAGTTTCACGGTTCAGCAGGGATTTCAACCTAATCTGCCTCATTTCTAGTGGAACATCAGCCATTAGACAATCACAGAAGCAGGGCTAGTCCAAGAGGGATAGGATGTGGGTTGGTAAAACTCTGGGCTGCTCTGTTTCAAACTGCAGGTGGACGTTTATGAATTAAACTCAATTAATGACACACAGAGTGTGAAATGGCAGAACTCTGCCCAAACTTTCTGTGAATTTGAATAGAGGCAAGAGTATTTATCCTCCCTAAGATCTGCTCTCCAACTATGCCAATAAACTAGTATGTTTATCTTTCAGGGAAGATTTGCTTTAAGAAACAGCATGAACTCTATCCATGCAGTGAAATTTGCCAGTAGATCCCAACATGTAAAGGGGCAACATCAGTGGGGGATCAAAACCAAACTCCAATTGTCATTTGTGAGGCTTACACTTTGAGAGTCAAGTTGCATAAGCCACTGAGAAGTCAAATTAAGAGCAATCTATTCAAGATCAGCAACTAATTTTGTGGGAATGCTGAAAAGAAGAGAGCATGGTGATGAATAGACTAGATATAGAATAGTAGTAAAGTTGGCTATAAGGTCATCAAGTCCATCCCCTTGCTCTGTTTCCACATGTGGTTGTCCATCCAGCTGCAGGCCCTTGCCTTTCTAACTTAGCAAAAGGTGACTCAACATCATAGCTCAATGTATAGTCATGCAGGCAGGTTGTCCATGCAATATTCTATGTAGGCAATATTCCACAGGCCCAGCAGCATGGTTAATTGTCAGGAATGCTGGGAGTCTGAGTTCAAAACATCTGGAGGGCACCAGGCTGGGGAAGGCTGAGATCTCAAGTAAATCTGCCACCTCCTTTCCGGCCTCTGGGGAAGAGCTGATATTTCTCTCTTCCCTGGCTTCCAGATACCAAACCCCAATGCAGAATCATCTGGTCAAAGAAGTTGATGGGGAGGTCTCCTTTGACTTTCCTCTGAAGGAAGTCACCTCTGATATTAAAGTTTGTTCCATTGAGTTAAATGAAGCACACATTTTGTCAGTAATGAAAACTTTGGCATTTGGCTAATCTTCCCTTGTTGGAGAACACACTCCAACAAGGTATGAATTCTTGTGGACTCTAGAATACTAATGCACAGAATAAATACATGGAAAGGGAAATGGCCCTGGGAGTCCTTGTAAAATATATTTAACACTAATCCATCTACCCACAGCCACAAATGGACAGCCCACACATAGACCAAACACACAGTAGAGATACAGAACATACATACCATCTAAAGATACATCACATGGTGTTTTTAATATGTATGTGGTAGCAATATTGGCCAGTTCCAGGTGGATTCCTATTTTATCACAGGCTGATAGCTTGATTAAGTCTCATGCAGGGAAACTGGAATTAAAAGGAGCACAGTAGTACACTCAGAAAACTTATCACTATTTCCCTGCTGTGACAAATGCATGAACAGCTACATATTTTCACAAGATCTCCAATAGTCTTGTAAATAGACATACCAGAGTACATTTATTAGTACTAAGATGGTCTCAAAATGCAATTTAATGCCAAACCAAGACAAAAAGGAAAGTATTCAAAGAGAGATGTCTTCATTTTGCAATGCAATATGCACAACCATCGTCCCCTCCCCCCTTTCTGCTCCCCCCATCAGATCCTAAGAAGTTAAGAGGTTAAAAACAGATCAAGGAGATTTAGGAAATGCCATGTTATACAAAAACAGACCTAGGAGCCAACAACACTGCAAAATTTTATCCATATGCACTAAACCCACTTTTCTGTATAAAAAGAAAGAAGTTTAAACTAGAAATTCAGGAAAAAAACAAACTCGGTCAAGTTTGCCTCGACACCTGATTTCCTCTCCAAAGCTCTCTTTTGTTCTGCTCTCCTGCATAAATTTTAATATCTTTCCAGCAGCAGAACATGAACAACAGCAAAGCCAGCTGCAAGTATACAGACCCCATAGCCTTCAAGCCAAAGTGGCAAGCCAAAAACATTTAACACGACAACAAAGAGGACGCCTACCCACAAAATCTGTACAATTTTCTGTTTGCTTCACCCCAGATTAACTTCACTTGAAGCTGGACTCCAGTGCAACCTACCCTGAACATGATGCCCCACCTTCTCAAATGTGAGTGGCTGAGCAAGGCAAACTCCACCCTGTTTGTGAAGCTTATAATCCTAATTGGTAAAAGCTAATATCCATTATTTAAAGAACTTTTTCCTTGCTAGCAGGGTAGGTTAAGCAGGGTAAGACATCCAGAGCAGGCTGGTTTCTTAAAGACACAGTAGATAGATTTGGTCACGGCAAAGGGCAACAGAGAAGAAACGGGTGTCAAAACACATAAACAGGGAGAGAGAAAGAAGGGGAATCTCAGCAAAGGGAAGTGTGATAATCCCATTTGGGATCTCAAAGGTATAAATTACACACTTCTCAAGAATCAGGACACTAGCCAAGGAAAAGTGAAGTAACCTTACTGAAAACCTATGTCAAAAATTAGGTCACTCTATTATTAGAGAGCTGGATGTTACGTGAAACTTTGCAAACCAAAAATGTCATCAGATTTTGTTTTATAAGTTACAGGGTCTTTGCAAAAGGTTAACAGACTCTATAACAATCACTTTACTCAGACCACACCACTAAACCCTTCCCCAGTAATTCCACATGCAATATTTTAAAGGGTCACTTCTCATACATACATACATAGAGAGAGAGTGTTGAGATGGTCCTTTAACAAGCAGACCTCTCCTATTATCTCTCTCCTGCCACCCATCTTTGCCTGTTTGCTAGACTTGTACACTAGCAAGTAGCCTCAGGGTGATTTAAGGTCCAAAATCAAACAGCAGCAGCAAAGAAATGAAAACAATACAGTGAGACAAGCATCAGACTGATACAATATTAAGCATTTCAAACATTTTTAGAACTTACAATATTGCCAAAGCCAGTATCTTTTGTATGGGTAGGCTTACCTGGAGACAAGAGTTGTGGTATGCCACGAGTTTAATACTGAGAATGAAGGAAAAATGCTTGCAATGTTTGTGTCTTATTAAAAAAACAAAAAACAAAACCTTCCCGTACAGGCAGTTCCTGAGTTATGAATGACTGATTTATGAACAACCCATACTTACAAACTGCCATAAAGCCTGTGCATTTTAAAAAAATACTGCAGAAAATCATCATCACCATACAGAGGTAGCAAAAGGGAAGAGAGAGGGGGGTCTCCAAAGCATCAATGTAGAAAGAGGGGGTGCAAAATGGGAGAGAGGAAGGCCTCTAAAGCATGCCTTGCTGCCCTGCCCATCCAGAGAGGGAAATCTCTCCAGCATTTCCTTGCTGCAAAAAGGGCACACTGGGGAGTTCAGGTGGTTGTGGGGGGGGGGGGGGTCCACTTTCACAGTCCTGTATCCCTAACTCCTGCAAATATGGAGGACCAACTAAATGTGATCTGACTTACATTCAAATTCGACTTAAAGACAAATTTCCATCTTCTCAGAAATGGAACTCATTCATAACCCGGGGACTACCTGCGCTATCTTTGCATAAAGCACACCGGAGTTAAGGTCCTAGATGACATTTCTCTTTCCCTTCAAGTGCATCCTATGGGACATTAAGCAAGACAGATCTTCCTATGTACTAACAGTGGACTCAATATCCCATGCATAGATTCAGCCAAAATGACACTGTCTGTCCATACTAAGAGGAGGAGTAACTGAAAACTGCTATAAACAAAAGTCCCATGCCCATGTCCAAGAGCTGTGATGGTCTAGAGAAGGACCCAGGCTTGGAATCCAGTGGCCCATCCCTGCTCAGTTTAAGCAAAATCAACAGCCCAAGTGTACAATAGTTTCAGCTATAAAGGATAGACACCTTGAGGGTGCATCCCTATGCATGTTCAGACAGGAAAAAGTCCTGCAACTCTCAGCATTTCCCATGGCTGTCTAAACATGCACAGGAGTGTAGTCTGAGTGACCAGGTCCCTGGCATGCTGATTCTGGCCTCCCACCAAAGAATATCAAGGAAAAGATATACATCAGGCAGAGATGGAACAGCTGCTCTGAAAGCTTCCTTTGGCAGGTGAAAGATGGAATTGTTGGAATAAGTAAGGCGGAATTATTTCCACAAAAGAACTGCAACATGCAACAAAGACCCCTAAATCAAATCTGCTCCATAAAATCCTTCATGGAAGAGATGGCAACAGACTACAGTTGCTTACCTGTAACTGACGTTCTTCGAGTGGTCATCTGTGCATCACACATATGGGATCTGTGCCTGTGCAGAGCCTATTTGTCAGAGAGGAGGAGATTCCCTAGCTAAGTGTTTTGGTGGGAGCCCCACCCCCTTCCCCATGTGGCATATAAAGCTGGGGCTCCTGCCATTTTCTCCAGTTTTTGTGAGACCATCACTTTGGCCTGGGAACTGAAGATGGGGTGGCCATTTTGGGCCCTTTCTGCACCAGTATGAGAGAAGGTGGAGGTCAATGGTAGCTAAGGATTCCAAGAGGGCTTTGTGAATGGTTGCAGAACCTCTGAAAGACTCCATCCCAGGTCCATGGATGATGTTCCCCAATTTGTGAAGATGTGTCTTATGGATGTAACTCCCATTCGTGAGTTGGGTCTAGCCTTCTGCTCAGATTGTCAGCTAGTTTGTTGTGAATTCTGGCTAGGTGACTGCCATAATTGTTGTGTTCCATTCCAAGCACCAGTCCAATATTTGTAGTTGAAGTCAGGTCAGGGATAGGGCACAAGTCCTGTCTTGTTTGCTTAGATAATACACTACTGTGGTATATTGTCCAATGTTATCTGAATGTGGTTGTTCTTGAGTAGTTGCTGGAAGGATAGCAATGTTTTTTGCACTGCAAGAAGTTCCAAGAAGTTGATAAGCTTGAAGCATTCTTGGTTGTTCCATAATTCATGTGTTTCTTCGCTGGTGCAGTGTGCCCTGCATCCCCATCAGGAGGCATCCATTGTTATGATCAAGTCCAGTTTCTTGGGGATAAAAGTTTTGCTGTACAGTCCACCACGCAAGACCAGACCATACTGAGCAAGTGAGTGCCAAATGTTTGTTTGGAGTCTCTGTGTGGCCAGTAGGCTCGAAGAAACCATAGCTGAAGAGGTCTCATTCACTGGCGAGAATGTTGTATGACCGAGCCCATAGCTGCCATTAGCTCCAGGAGTTGATGTAATTGGTGTGCTGTAGATCTGGCTTCCATTTGGAGGTATAGCATCAACTCGGGTAGTCACTGCTTTATCTAGGGGCAGGTATGTCTGTGAATCCACAGATCCAGTCTGGCACCAATGTATGAGATAGACTAGGAGGAAGAAAGTATAGATTTTTCATCATTAATGCATAATTCTAGTTTCTGTAGGAGACAGAATGTAGTGCAGACTGAGGCCCTCAAGTCTGTTCCAGGTGGGGTAGTCAGAAGCTAGTTGTCTGAGTATATCCTAATCTCTTGAACCTGAAGGTGTGCACAGACTACTGCCATGCATTTCATGAAGACCCATGGGACTGTGGTGAGACTAAAAGGGAGCAAACGAAATTTGTACCTTTCAGTGCTGATACTGAATTGCTGGAAATGTCTGTATTTGAAGTGCATAGACACATGAAAGTATGCATCCTTCAAGACTATCAAGGCAAACCAGTCCACTTGCCTTGAAAAAGGTAGCATAGCATGTCGAGAAAGCATGCAGAACTTCATACCTCTAAGATCCAATATGGGACGGAGGACACTGTTCTTCTTCAGGATGGTAAAACAACAAGAGCAGAATCCCCATTGGAGATTGGACGGTGGGACAGATCAAATCACTCCCTTTGCTCGGTGTGTTGCTACCTCCTTTTCTAAAGTAGCTGATGAGGTGGTGCACAATGGTCCTGAGTGGTGGAAGGAAAGCAAATTCTACAAGGTATACAAATTCAATGATGGAAAGTACTCACCTGTCAGATAATATGTCTTCCCATTGGGAAAGGAAAGTTCTTAGAGAGCCTTTGAACCAAATTGTTAATGGCGGTAAGGGACTGATTGAGGTTGGTGGTCAGCAACCTCACCTCTCAGCATCCAGCCCTTTCATAGCAGATGCTGGGAGTGTGTGTGGTGGGGGGGGGGGCATCCCAATGTTCATGTCTCGGTGGTGGTCACTGGCAAGCCAGGTAGTTGGTTTCTGCTGGAGTAAAAGATGGGCCTCGTGGCCACTTACGTGCTCTCGATGTCTGGGTATGAAGCCCATTCTTTTTGCCTTTGCATACTATCCAACTTCGAATTGGGTCAGGCAGTGAAGAGACTCTCACTGTCAAGGCAATCACAGCAGAGTTGCTAGTGGTGAATCTCATATGTCACACTCCGAACATGAGTGCACAGCTGTCTCCTCTGCTCAGACCATCA